TCCCTCTCTGCCTGCCATCCAGCCTGCCTCCCTCTCTGCCTGCCATCCCGCCTGCCTCCCTCTCTGCCTGCCATCCAGCCTGCCTCCCTCTCTGCCTGTCATCCAGCCTGCCTGCCATCCAGCCTGCCTCCCTCTCTGCCTGCCATCCAGCCTGCCTCCCTCTCTGCCTGCCATCCAGCCTGCCTCCCTCTCTGCCTGTCATCCAGCCTGCCTCCCTCTCTGCCTGCCATCCAGCCTGCCTCCCTCTCTGCCTGCCATCCAGCCTGCCTCCCTCTCTGCCTGCCATCCAGCCTGCCTCCCTCTCTGCCTGCCATCCAGCCTGCCTCCCTCTCTGCCTGCCATCCAGCCTGCCTCCCTCTCTGCCTGCCATCCAGCCTGCCTCCCTCTCTGCCTGTCATCCAGCCTGCCTCCCTCTCTGCCTGCCATCCAGCCTGCCTCCCTCTCTGCCTGCCATCCAGCCTGCCTCCCTCTGCCTGCCATCCAGCCTGCCTCCCTCCCTGCCTGCCATCCAGCCTGCCTCCCTCTCTGCCTGCCATCCAGCCTGCCTCCCTCTCTGCCTGCCATCCAGCCTGCCTCCCTCTCTGCCTGCCATCCAGCCTGCCTCCCTCTCTGCCTGTCATCCAGCCTGCTTCTCTCTGCCTGCCATCCAGCCTGCCTCCCTCTCTGCCTGCCATCCAGCCTGCCTCCCTCTCTGCCTGCCATCCAGCCTGCCTCCCTCTCTGCCTGCCATCCAGCCTGCCTCCCTCTCTGCCTGCCATCCAGCCTGCCTCCCTCTGCCTGCCATCCAGCCTGCCTCCCTCTCTGCCTGCCATCCAGCCTGCCTCCCTCTCTGCCTGCCATCCAGCCTGCCTCCCTCTCTGCCTGCCATCCAGCCAGCCTCCCTCTCTGCCTGCCATCCAGCCTGCCTCCCTCTCTGCCTGCCATCCAGCCTGCCTCCCTCTCTGCCTGCCATCCAGCCTGCCTCCCTCTGCCTGCCATCCAGCCTGCCTCCCTCTCTGCCTGCCATCCAGCCTGCCTCCCTCTCTGCCTGCCATCCAGCCTGCCTCCCTCTGCCTGCCATCCAGCCTGCCTCCCTCTCTGCCTGCCATCCAGCCTGCCTCCCTCTCTGCCTGCCATCCAGCCTGCCTCCCTCTCTGCCTGCCATATCCAGTCTGCCTCCCTTTCTGCCTGCCATCTAGCCTGCCTGCCTGCCTGCCAAAAATATACAATGATGTACATTTAAGAAACAATTCTGGGTCACAGGTTTGTCAGTATGGTTAGGCTTACAAAGTCAGCTGGTCCCTCCCCCACCACCGACACCCACCACCGACACCCCCTCCAACCCATACACACACTCTCAAAGGTCACGTGGTTCACCTCGCTGGCAGGCCAGCCAGCCTGCCTGCCTGCCTGCCTGCCTGCCTGCCTGCCTGCCTGCCTGCCTGCCTGCCTGCCTGCCTGCCTGCCTGCCAGCCAGCCTGCCTGCCTTTCCCCTCCCTCCCTAATTCTCACTACTTCCCTCCCTCCCTGCCAACCTCCTAGCATCTCTCCCTACCTGGTTGATACCTGGTTGATGGGGTTCTGGGAGTTCTTCTACTCCCCAAGCCCGGCCCCGAGGCCAGGCTCGACTTGTGAGAGTTTGGTCCACCAGGCTGTTGCTTGGAGCGGCCTGCAGGGCCACGTACCCACCACAGCCCAGCTGATCCGGAACTTCTCTTAGAAAACCGTCCAGTTTTCTCTTGAAGATGTCCACGGTTGTTCCGGCAATATTTCTTATAGTCGCTGGGAGGACGTTGAACAACCGCGGACCTCTGATGTTTATACAGTGCTCTCTGATTGTGCCTATGGCACCTCTGCTCCTCACTGGTTCAATCTTGCATTTTCTTCCATATCGTTCACTCCAGTACGTTGTTATTTTACTGTGTAGATTTGGGACCTGACCCTCCAGCATTTTCCATGTGTATATTATTTGGTATCTCTCTCGTCTCCTTTCTAGAGAGTACATTTGGAGAGCTTTGAGACGATCCCAATAATTTAGGTGTTTTATATCGTCTTTGCGTGCCGTATATGTTCTCTGTATTCCCTCTATTTCAGCAATCTCTTCTGCTCTGAAGGGGGAAGTGAGTACTGAGCAGTACTCGAGACGGGACAACACAAGTGACTTGAAGAGTACAACCATTGTGATGGGATCCCTGGATTTGAAAGTTCTCGTAATCCATCCGATCATTTTTCTGGCTGACGCGATATTTGCTTGGTTATGCTCCCTAAACGTTAGATCGTCGGACATCATTATTCCCAAATCCTTGACATGCTGTTTTTCTACCATGGGAAGATTCGATTGTGTTTTGTACCCTGTATTATGTTTCAGATCCTCATTTTTGCCGTACCTGAGTACCTGAAATTTATCACTGTTAAACATCATGTTATTTTCTGCTGCCCAATCGAAAACTTTGTTGACATCTGCTTGTAGTTTTTCAATGTCTTCAGCAGAGGTAATTTTCATGCTGATTTTTGTGTCATCTGCATGGTTAGTCAGCTGGTCCCACCCCCCACCACCGACACCCCCTCCAACCCATACACACTCTCTCTCAAAGGTCATGTGGTTCACCTCGCTGGCAGGCCTCCCCCCCTCCTCCTACCTCCCAGCATCTCTCCCTCCCTTTGACTAATTCTTCCCCTCTCTCACTGATTCTCCCCCCTCTCTCATACTGCCTCCCATCTAAGCTCTCCCATCCACCCACCCACCAGTCAGCCATCACTGACGCAATGCGTGCATTTGGAGCCAACATGGTGCACAGATGTTTCTTGATTGTGCAGATATGTAAAACAAAAGCACAGAATAAACATTCCAGCCTTATGACAATTCAAAATAATAGGAATAATAGGCCGTGAATCTGTGAAGTCACAGTGGGCAAACTGGACCATCTCCCACCCAGTTCGGGTAGCATGACTCCCCAATCCTAATCGGGAAACTGGAAGTTTCGGATAACTAAAGTTCGGAAACCAAGTGGTGCTCTGTATTTAAAATAAATTCTGAAGTTAGAAAGTATAGCATAGGCTCCTTGCACAATGTTCTTAATGTGGTCCTCAGGTGACAGTTTTCTATCTAGATCTTTTTCTCTTGTCAGATTTCTTTAAAGATTTCTCAAATAATTTATAGGTTGTGTGGGGGTCTATGTTCTCCCAATTCCACATTCCATAACATGGCATTTATTCACATAAATTCCCTTTGCCAAGTGGTGCTCCATATACTTATTTTGTCCAGGTCTTCTTGATGGGCATGACCATCATCTAAGTTTCTTATCTTCCCTATTATCTTAGCATCATCAGCAAACATGTTTAAATAATTCTGTATTCCATCTGGTAGATTGTTTATGTAGACAGTGAACATTACCGGTGGAAGAACTGAACCCTGTGGTACTCCACTTGTGACATTCCTACAATCCGATACATTGCTTCTGATACATTACACAGGGATTCCTGAAAAATCAGTTGAAGTGGAATGCTGAGCTCAGGTGCACATTCTCTCATAACCCATGGTGAAACTTCATCTGGACCAACTGTTTTGTTCTTACTTAGCTCCTTGAGCATTTTTTCCACTTCGTCTCTAGACACCACTATGTGCTCTATGTTGTTCTCTGGAATTCTTATTGTGTCTGGTTCCCTGAAGATTTCATTTTGTTCAAACACACTTTGGCACTTTTCATTTAACGTTTCACACATTTCCTTTTCTTTTTCTGTGAATCTGTTTCCCATTTTCAACCTCTGAATATTATCCTTTACCTGCAATTTGTTGTTTATGAATTTATAGAATAGACCTGGTTCTGTTTTACATTTGTCTGCAATTCCTTTTTAAAAATTTCTTTCTGCCTCTCTCCTCACTGTTGTGTAGTTGTTTCTCGTATCTTTGTATCGCTTGTATGTATGTGTTTTCCTTTATTGATTCCAATTTTGTGTTTTTTGGTCTTTGGCCCTCTCACAATTTCTGTTGAACCAATCCTGTTTCCTTGTTCTGCATTTACTTCATGTCATAACAGCAAGTTTTTCCAGTCAAATTCCTTAAAGAAATGTCTGAGATACCCATAATGACCTCTCTTGAAATCATGTTTTTCAACTGCTTCAACCTCATTTTCTTCCAGATTATAATCATTGCATACTTTATTCCCAAAAAGACATGGTCACTTTTACCCAAGGGAGGAAGGTACTGAATGTCAAATATCTCTTCCTCTTCCTCTTTCCTGGTAAATATCAAATCCAGCATGGAGGGAACATCCCCTTCCCTCATCTTCGTAGCTTGTTTACCATGTTGAAACAAGAATGTTTCCAGGATGAGGTTTACAAATCTATAAGTCCAAAAATCCTCTGTTCTAGCTTCATATGCCTCCCAGTCTATGGATTTCAAGTTGAAGTCGCTGGCTACCAACAGTCGGGATTTATCTTCATCAAATCCCGCTATAATCTCTCTCATTATTGTTATGAGACCCTCACGTTTATTATCTAGCTCCCTTTTTGACCATGTGCTGCATGGCGGTGGACTATATGTATTTATGATAGTTTATCATCCTAATTGCAGATCTCTAGTGCTATTATGTCAACTTCTCGTGGATTGCCAATCATTATTTTGTTTACCTTTAGGTGTTCTTTCATCAGCACAGCAATGCCACTGCCTTTCCTAATTTTTTTTTTGTTGCCCGTCTCCAAACTGAGTGGTTATGTTTGTATGCTAGGTTATTTCACGGCTTAAATTCTGAACATGACTATATTTACTAAGGCAGTTTAGTGTTGGATTTATTATTCTTGTATCATGGCATTCAGCATGGGTTCTGGAACACTATGGTTTTGAAGTAACAGCAGATTTGTTGTAAATTCACTTACAGATATCTTCCTGAACGTATTGTTGCTTCCCATGGTCCTTTAAGAAAAAATCCTTCATATCCATCAATGATGTTTTTAAATGTCCATTAATTTTTTTTCAGAAATTCTTATAATAAGCATGTAGTCATTTGTATTCTTCTCCACAGTTGCTGGATAACTACAGAGTATTGATATACAATGGCCAGCTGGATGTGATCATTGCATATACACTTACTGAGAACTTCCTTAACTCCTTGAAATGGAAGAATGCTGCCAAGTACCAAGAAGCACCACGTTTTGTGTGGCGTGTGAATGGCACTGTTGCTGGTTATGTGAGAGAGGTTCCTGGCTTTGCTCAAGTCCTTGTTCGCAATGCTGGGCATATGATACCTCACGACCAGCCACAGTGGGCGTTTGACATGATTACTCGATTCACATCAGTCAAATCTTTTTCATCTCATTAAGCACTGATTTATTAAAATTAAAGCTCAATACAGCACTTTTGAGATTTTAGCTTTTTTTTTTTTTTTGCATTTGAATTTTTAGTTCTGCATCAAGCTGCTAGATTTTTGTTTTGTTTTTTAAGATGAAGTATGCTGTTTTACCCCCAGGCAAGAGGTTGGTTCTACTATTGGATGCATCTTATAATTAACTTGGTTGACCAGACTTAGTGTTGCTGCTTCATTCAGCAGCAATAGAGACTTATATACTTGTAGTAAATGTAATCAAATGTGATGTACTTTTATGTATTTGTGCTAATTTATATTTTGTGGTTGTCTTAATTCAAGTGAGTTATGGAAACTTAATGGATTTGATTCAAAGTTAATAAGGTTAACCCCTTAACTGCGTTGCCTCCAAATGTGACACCCCCGCAGTGCGCAGGAAATAAATTCTCTTGAAAAAATTCTTTTTTCTTTTTAAAGTGTCAAAAACCCTTCCCTGAGTATGGGTATGTAAAAAAAAATTCGAAATTGTACTTTGGGTGCTATGGGGTCCGGAAGTTGGGGCGTGACGTCATCATTCCCCGTGCGCCCGTGGTGTAAGCTCTCAGAGGCGGTGGGGCGCTCGGGGCGGGGCGCGCGAGTTGCCGCGAATATATTTTTGTTCATTTATTGCGCACATTTCCCAATACATTTTCATTGTTTTTATGTGCCAATCCAATGTATAATGAACACGTACACTATAATATCGCAGTACAACATCCGTACTGTCCGTAGACACTGTGTTACGTGCATCACAAACAACTTCACTTATCCTACACAATTTCCAATGTATCATGCCAAATATATTTATATTTACACTTTATATACACACTGTACAGTATCACACACTATATACACACACCATAAACACACTCAGTACTCCGCGAGTGTGTGATATGCTGCGAAACAGCCAACGGGGCAGAGTGGCACCTTGCACTCCACGCACCAGGTGCTGATACATCTTCGTTTCTGTTCTCTGCGGGTAGTGTTCCTGCATACTATACACGCACGTTTACCCTTCTCCCGTGATGCTGTGCCTGGCATATACTCGAGCATATGTACTCCGAAGTTCTCATTACCCCTCAATCTGTCTGGAGCTGCATGTGGCATTGTTGCTTGCACTCCGCGCGGTACAACAGAACCCTCCTTGCCATACTTTACTAGCAGCTGTGACACAACACCAGCACTGAATGTACGTATAGACGGTCTCCTGCCAGATTTTACTAAGTACATATTGAAGCAGTTGAGCACTGCAACATCCATCAGGTGGAAGAAGAACTTTTTAGTCCACTTCACAGACTTGCGCACGCACTCTACTCCACCAAGCATCATGTCACACTTATCGACGAGGCGCATGTTCACGTTATAGTCTATGACACAGTCTGGCTTATACACGGTGTTGCGTGTCTGAAAGTGGACTTTCCCACTGTCCAACATGGCACCGGTGTGAATCGTACTCAGCATATTCACCTCGCGTCTGTCCTTCCACCGCACTGACAGCGTATTGTCACACTTGCGCAGCTGGCACTCGCCCACGGCTATAGCTATACCGAACACTGGCATTTCCTTCCTATGGCTCTTCACAGTGCCACATACGCCGGTGTTGTGGGCAAGGAGGTATCTGGTCAATAAGGGGCTGGTGTAATAGTTGTCGGTGTACAGTACATGCCCCTTGTTCAGCAACGGTTCCATCAGGGTCTTTACAACACTGCCAGAGAACCCGTGTTCATCTTGAGCCGGTATGTCGACGTCTGTACCAGAATATAATATCATGTCCAAGACAATACCAGTCTCACAGTCGCATAGCACAAAAAACTTCAGTCCAAATCGGTGCCGCTTTGATGGAATGTACTGTTTGAATGCCAGTCGCCCCTTGAACAGTACAAGCGACTCGTCAATAACCACATTCTGTCCAGGTACAAAATAATCCCTGAACTTCCCTCTCATGTCACTGAACATCTTCCGTACTTTCCACAGTCTGTCGTGTCTGTCCTCATTTGCATTATTCTCGAAATGCAGGCACCTGAGAATCAAGAGATACCTATCACGCGACATGTACCGGTTGAACACAGGCGATGGAACAAGGCTGTCTTTGCTCCAATATTCCTGGATGACAGCTTTCTCAGAGTGCTTCATCATCATGGTGAGTGCCAGAAACACGTACATTTCGTCGATTGTCGTGTCCTTCCATCATGTGAGCCGTGAGGCAAGTAAAATGCCTTCGTCTATGAGGGTGTGAGCGAACCTGTTTGTCTCAGTCACAAGATGCGCCATGAATACATTGTCATAATATGCCTGAAAATATTCCATGTGTGCCATATCATCACCAGTATATGGGAATAATGGTGTAACACCAAAATCGCTATCATCAAATGTTGGTATTTGAGGGGCAAATGTGGTGCAATCCTCCCACACAAGTACACCAGGGGGTTTGGTGTTGGCGCCAACACCACGGCCAACACCACCACGAGCACCAAAACTACGGCTACGTCGTCCGCTGCTTCTGCTGGAGCTGCGTGAGGGTATGCTAGGCGCTGAGGCAGATTTACGTACTGTACACCTACCACGAATAAATGATGTTGAGGGGCCACTGTCGTTGTCCACATGCTGTGAGGCACGCTGCCGCCTGCCGCGGCGTGTTGCTGAGGTAGCAAAACCCCGCCTGGTAACACCACCACTGCTCGTACTCGGGTCGTCCACACTACTCGTATCGGAGCCAATGTCACTGAAGCCCGAGAAAGATTCGTCACATGTACTATCACTGAATAAACTACTAGCGTCTGGGGACATACATGATGGTGGTGATGATAACGGTGTTGACCCAGGGCGGCGAGGCAGGCCGGGCGAGGCACGAGTACCCCACACACTCGCCACATCTTCCAATTCTGTCTCTTCCTCACTCGTATCAGATCTCTGAGTTAGGTCTTTATCTGGATCATAGTCCAGGTCATCATCCAGAGCACCGTCATCATACAAAATATCGCGTATTTCCTCCTCAGAGAGTCGTTTTCCATGACCGCGGGTCACCGTGGAGCGGGAGCTCGTAGAGGATGCGTCAGACATGGTTGCTGCCGTGAAACTGAGGCTCCCCACGGCCGCAGGGCATGCTGGGATTTTTTTTTAAGATGGCGGACGATCACTGGGGCCCCCACCCACCCATACCATACCCGCGTCACCGCGCGCCAGTTTTGAATGGAACGTGAAAAATCAAAATACCTGGAGGCGCGTTGCGCAAACCAGACGCGAGCCTGCAGGCGCGTTGCGCAGTTTAAGGGTTAAGAATTACACAGTATTCTTGAAATGAGAATGTGAGTTGCCTAAACGTTTCCAAGACAGATACTTACAGTAGTTTCTCTTTTGACAGACATGATTTGCATATCAAATTATTTTTTAAATTTAAATACTGTGTATGCATGTGTGTATACATACACATGCAGTAGAACCACAGAAAGAAAAACACAAAAATTTTGAGGACAAGGACATTGGTATTTCAAAAATGCCAATTGGGCAGAAAGCATGTAGCACTCCAAGCCAATCAAAGTCAAGTCAGAAGAAAAATAAAGTCACATGTAAAATGCAGTCAAACTAATTCCATAGATTAATTCTCTTTGTTGCATTAAGTGCCAACATATACAGTATTTAGTGTTGCACTGATCACAGTAACAGGTGAGTCATGTAAGTGACATCATCACTTCCATATAGAAGTAAGTAAAGTTTATTCAGGAAAGTACATACATAGTTGTTTTACAAACATAATGTTGGATTTATAGATAGAGGTAGTACATACAATACCTAAAGCCACTAGTACGCATAGCGTTTCGGGCAATATCAAAGTTTTTTTGGCAATAGCGGAACTTTAAACGCACATAGCGTTTCGGGCACTTCTTAATAGAAGTGTTCATTTCACAATACAAATCATTCAGCAAAATTTATGATTCAAAATGTCTCTTGAAAAATTACTGTGTAATTTATCTTCGTTGACTCTAGCATTGTTAAACAGACATGAAATAATAATTAGCACTCTACTGAAGAAGTTACTATTTAAAATAATCAGTGACATCCCTCATACATGGCAGTGGAGAAAATGATCAGCTGTCATGATGCCACCCACATGTGCACATCCCACCTATATGTACACATCCCACCTACATGTGCACGTCTCACATCAATGCTTTTCAGTTATACACACAGAAATCACAATGGCGTGATGATTCAGGTGTAGATTTGAACCCTCATCACGGCCCTTGTGGATTTGTTCTTTTCAGTTATGTTCCCAGAATGATGCAGTCCTGAAGTTTATATTACTATTAATTAAATAATCAATAACCTGTTTTTTGAGCCGCTAATATTAAACAATAAGTCATTATTGTACTGTTGGGTTGAACATCCATGACATACTCCTCAAGGTGGTAGAAATAAAAATATAAAGATTTTAATCTGGTATGTTGAATCTCAGTATAGTATAGTAAAGTTTGATGTATTAAAATACATCATATCAGTCATATAAACAAGCTTTTCTTGTATGCCTTGAGTGTTTATTACCAGCTTAACTTATCTTAATATTTTAAAATTGCGTTAAATTTAATGGCACAAAAATAAATTAGATCACTGATATTGTATTTTTATATGAAATAAAGAACTACTGTTTATTGCCATAGCAATGTAAAAATGACAGTTGGGTATAAAATATAGTTTAAAACAAAATTAGCATAATTTCTGATTGCACACTGCATTATAACATGTTCTTAAATCATTTTAAGCTAAGATGTAAACTTTATAGCTTTAAGGTTCCTAGATTATATATAAAATTATTTTTTACTTAAATATGTTATGAAATTGATTAAATTTTTCATGTGACACAAAATTAAAGACCATTTATCTTTTGATATGATTATCATTATCATTTCCTCTCAGTATGTAGAATATTGATTCATGGTCTGCCTTCAGTGCTTGTATATGTTAGACAATGTTAAATACATAGCTCTTGAACTAAATAGTTTTTATTAACACATCATACATTTGCCAAATTTTTCAGTTTATTTGCTTGGCTATTGCCAAAGCAAAGTTGTTGTTACTAGCTCACCTTGAAAGAAAAAGTCTAGACTATAGTCACCAAACACATGGGGGGGTATGAGCTACGCAGAGAGACTACGGGAATTGAACCTCACATCA